CTGGAAGCTTTAAGGGAACAGACTGGAATGGAGTCACCAAGCAGCATAGCCATGAGGCTATATAGCCTACGTGTAGGAATAGGAATATTGGACAGTTGTATTAGAGTTAGGATTTTGCTAGGCAAAGGGATAGAAGAAGAGTCATGGCCTAGACTGGAGCAAAGAATGGTTTTGATCGTTCATTTGTTTTAGAGACGGGATCTCACTGTATTGCCCAGGCTGGAGTACAGTGGCCTGATCATAGCTCACTGCACCCTTGAATTCCTGGGCTTACGAGATCCTCTTTCCTCAGCCCCCCCAAGTAACTGGGAAACAGGTGCCCACCACCGCTCCCTGCTGGTTTTCTTATTTTTTTAAAGAGATGAGGTCATGACTCAGTGCCTATAGCTCAGCGGCTAGGGTGCCAGCCACATACACCAGAGCTGACGGGTTTGAATCCAGCCCAAGCCTGCCAAACAACAATGGCAACTACAACAAAAAAAAAATGGGTGTTGTGGTGGGCGCCTCTAGTCCTCGCTACTTGGGAGGCTGAGGCAAGAAAACTGCTTAAGCCCAAGAGTTTGAGGTTGCTATGAGCTGTGACACCATGGCACCCTACCAAGGGCGACATAGTGAGACTCTGTCTCAAAAAAAATGAAAAAAAGATGAGATTGTATGTTGCCCATTATGGTCTCAAATTCCAAGGTGCTGGAATTACAGACACGAGCCACCGGGCCTGATCAGGAGTTAAGAATGTTGAGGGCAAAAGAAGTCTAATTAATGAGTCATGGCATCTATCTAAGATAATAGAGATAATAAGAAAGTAAAAGAGAGAGATGAAAAGGAGAAAGAAGGAAAATCAAGAGAAAGCTGTCAATGAGGTTGAAAAACAGATGTAATGCAAGTCTAAGAGCAAAAAAAAAGAACTAGAGTCATAGAGTAGGTTTCTAAGCTTATAATTTCTGAGCCAAAGCAGTGCAGGTGATTTCAGGGTTTAGGAGTGATGATAAGAGTAAATGGCTAAAGCAAAAAGTAGGCAACACAGTTAATTTAGTGAAAGTTATTAAAGGGTTTGAGAGATAAGATATTGTCACCTGTCTATTGATTTACCTAGAATAGCGACTTTGAGTATGAAGAAAGACAGTGAGCTGGGTGCTAAAGATTTCATGAGTGAAAGATGAGAGGAAAGTAAGTGATCACTAAAAAGAAACGTAGAAGGTGGCGAGACTAGATGGCATTAACCTCAAAGGAGCAGACTTTTTTTCAGGAGGTTATAAGAGAAGAGGTCTAAAATTAGCAAGAGAGTGGGAGAAAATAAGTAGCCTCCATTTGAGAGGTCTACAAAGGTGCTAGTATCCTTGGTGAAGAACCAGATTTTAGCTGATGCAAGACTCGGCATAGAATGAATAGGTTAAAGATGTCTGCTGTGGAATGGGAATTTCAGAGAACTTAGTAGACAAATTTGGGTGGAAGTGGAGGAGTAGAAGATTGGTTGAGTCAGGCAAGATGGTGCATAGACCAACATGCAAATGTGTAGCCACAGAGGACAGGTACCATTCTAGGAAGGAGGAATGACTGCCAAGGGTGGTCAGATGTGAGCCTGACAGGTAAGCAGAATTTAAATCTCATACAGCTTTATAGAACATATGAAAGAGGAGACCTTTCCTAAGATCCTAAGATTGCCATTGAAGTGTTATTAGTAAGACAGTGACAAATCAGATGAGAAGAATGACTGGTAGCAGCGTGGCAGGTGGCTAGAAGAGGGGACAGAAGAGGAAACAACCAACAATCTTTTGCCAAAACAGCACGGGGTCATGTGCTGATGAAAAGGCAGTGGAAAGGGAGGTGAGAGTACAAATCTGATAGGTATTTTGGTGATAGAGTTGATAGAACTTGGTGACTGATTAGATGTGAGGGGGAAGAAGAAAAAGCCACCAAATATGATGCCCAGGTTTCTGGTTTATACAAGCAGGTGAGTAACTGAGCCATTCCCCAAGATACATGGAACATAGGGAAAAACAACATTTTGCAGGGGGTGGGTGAATTCAGTTTAGTATATATTAAGCTCAGATTTTAGAATTGTCATCACTTAAATGCACTTGAAGCCTTGGTTACACATTTGGCCGTACAGGAATAGAGTGTATAGAGTGAGGATAGGAAGAGGTCCTGAGATAGAAAGACTTCTTTCAGAAACAGGCCTGAGAGTCCTTTAAAGGAGGCCAGAGCAGTCCTTAAAGAAGGACTAGTGCCATGTTGTAGGTGCTTCTAAATGTATGTCACAAATAATGACATTCATAACTATAAGTATTTACTAATCGCTTCCTCTGTATCAGATAGGATACTGAGCACTTTCATGTGTTAATACGTTTAATCCTCACAACAGTCCTATGAGAAAAGTCCTATCATTTAATATCCCTGTTTATAGGAGAGTTAACTGAGGCACAGAGAGGTTAAATTGCCTGCCCAAGGCCATATTGTATATGTCAAAACAATTCATAAATATTATTTAGCTTTATTCTCATCCAAGCCAAATAACATGGTCAGTATCAGATAAAAATTTCATTTCAGTAAATGTCATTTGGATATCTTTACATATGCTCATAAAGATAGGCAAAGGATCTCCACAGGTCCTTTTCATCTAAATACTACTCTATCACAAATACAGAACTTGGTGATAAATTAATAATAGGCAATATTCATTCCTGTTGCTGCAAGAAGGAATTGGAGAATTTAAGAAGCAGATATAATTTCTAAATTAGTGATGATTTTTAACCCTTTTAGAGTACAGAAGAGTTTTTACAGTTCATAAAAGATTTACAACATTCTCAAATCAACATTAATTTTAAAATGAGAATAAATGTATCACATGACACTTTATAGAAAAGAAAAACAAAATAAGAAAAAGAATGTATAATTCCATAAAGTCCGTATTAATCAGTGATCACTTATTGTTGGTAAATATTAACAATATTGAGAGATGAAACTTTACCTCTCAATGTTTCAGTATCACTTATTGTTTCAGATCACTTATTATTGATAAATATTAACAATATTGAGAGATGATGTTTCAGTATTTCATAGGCTACATAGATTTTATTTATATTCTGTAAGTGTTGGTTCCTTATATTAAACTGTCTGGTTGCCTTTACACCCATTCCACCCCACACCTCACTGATGTCACCCGTCATAGCACCAGAACATGCCTATATACTTTTAAGAGGTTAATAGTCCCCTAAATTTTTTATAGTGGGAATTTACTGGGGTATAGTCTGTGGTTAGTAAATCAGTGTGTTTCAAATTTTCCTAGTTTTATGACCTGAAGAACTTATTTGATATCTTTCATCCTCATTTTCATCACCTTTAATAACAAGATTGTAATGCCTTCCTTATGGGATTGTTGAAAGAATTTAATAAAATAAGATGTTTTTAACATTTATAGTATCTGGTATATAGCACTAAAAAATGTGATTAAGAGCATGAGCCTTAAACCTGATTTGGAGTCTCAGCTCTTAAGTTAGCTATTTAACCTTGGGCAAGTGAGTTTTGATTTTCTTACTGTCTGTCTGTGCATTGTAAATTTACAATTGGTAATGTTGTGATTGCTGTGTTTTTGTAAGATTTGATATTAACTGAACCTTTGTCTCTTACTAGTAAATTTATAAATTAAAATAAATTATACCTTTTAAATTATAGTTAAGAAAGATTTTATAAGATTTTG